CAGCCATCATTGTTGTTTGGTGGGCCTGGGCTGGATTCGAGCCTGCCAACTCAGGTGTATGTGGCTGGTGCCTTACCTGCTTGAGTCACAGGCGCCGAGCCCCAACTCTAGAAATTTTAATATGTCAAAAGCCATATTGTGTAAGTTGCAATACTTAAGCAAATGCTGAGTATCAAAGCAGGAGCTATTGTGAACACATGAAAATGATTAATATTCTTTCTAAAAACTTAAAAAGTTTTTTTTGTATGTGTGCAGTTTTTGGGCAGGGCTGGGTTTGAACCTGTTACCTCTGGCATATGGGGCTGGCGCCCTACTCCTTTGAGCCACAGGTGCCACCCAACTTAAAAAGTTTTAATCATTCATTTAGGAAATATTATAATTTGATGGTTGCAGAATGGTAGGTAATACCTGGTTGTTTTCTAGTAATTCAGAGAAGATACATATTTTATTTGTTGTAGCAAATTCCTAAATGAAAATTAGGCAAGTGGTATCATATCTGGCCAGCTGCAGCCTCTTGCCTTGACCTGCATTCCTGAGGTTTCTACATTGTTGTTATTCTTGATTAAGTGACCTTGGGTTCACTTTGTAATTTTGTTAATCATCAGCAAATTCACTTGTGTGTTGTTATTGCCAAAGGTGAAGGCAGCTGATTGATTATGAGTTATGATGGGATTGTGCCATGGTGAAAACCTTAACATTTGGGTTTGTTTATGTTTATTCAATTAATCTTGTTAAATAATATTACCATGAATCTGTTGTCAAGCCTGAATATCTTTGTTTGAATTTAAAATGGAACCATCTTGTTCAAGTGCAGGTCTTTACTTAGTAACGGGATTGAGAAAAAGCTCACGTAAGAAAATAGTGTTTTAATTGAAAGAAAAAAAGCAACACTATAAAGATATACAACTATTATGTACCCAGGATAATTAAAAATAAAGGAAAAAGCAAAAGCAAATAAGAGTCAGTCTAATTCATATTGTTATTGTCAAATCATCAAGTTAACTAACCATGTCTGATCACATTATCTCTCATTATTCATATGGACATAACTTTAGGTTAAAATAACTTGGTGTAGAGCTGTGGTCACTTATGGGTTTGAGCAGCTGGCGGGGGTGCTGCTGCTGCTGCCAGGTATGCAAAGCCTTGAGCTTGGGAAACTGAAGCAACACTCTTCTTGGTTTTGAAAGACATCATTTCATTATGGGATGGCAAATTTCTGATCAAACACAGTTGGTTATTAGCAAGGTACCAGAAAAGCAAAACATATCACTTTGGTTCAAGTAGCTCCTTAACTTAATGAAGAATTTTTTAGGAGAATGGCTGAGCTTAAAGATATAACTGCTAAAGTGGCCTCTGGCCAGGAAAAACATCTTCTCTGAGTTAGACATGGGTCTGATTCCTCTGCCTTTTGGAAAGTAGTTATACAGGTGGACTGTACCAAGATTAACAAGAGCAGTGGCATGGTGGAAGCATCGCAGATCTTGAATTTGTACTAGTTTATTCAACTTGATATCAGAAGTCAACCAGGAGTATCAGCACAGAGCTCCACCTCTGAAGAAACTGATGAAAACTCATTCTCTGTAGCATCTTGTCAGGTTAGTCTTATGGGAAGGGAGAAGCACCTGACTGATGAGTGTCGTGTCTATATGGAGGGACGAGCTGAGCTCATCCTGTTTTGTGCTCACAGCTTTGGTCAGAAGTGTATTGATAAATGGTAAGTTAACTACTGTTTTCATGGGATAGGCAAAGGTCAAGTGGGATAGTGTATATGAATAAACTTTGAAAAGTACAAAAAAATTGTAGTTAAGTGGGAGATATTTTTTCTTTAGTACTTTGAATTTTATGGCATGCCTCCTGCTGGTTAAAAATATTTTTACACCCAAAGTTTGTAAACTGTGGAGATATAGCTTAGTTTTGACACTTTGGCTGTAAGGAAATTTGTGTCTGACTTGAGTCTAGAATCAAATATTACGTTTTCTCCTTGTTTCTACATTTATTCTCTGTATGTGTTTAGAAGGAATAAATTCTTGAATATTGAAACTGGAAGGAACTTTAGAAATCAGCTCATAAGGCTTGTTATTTTATAAAACAAGAATTGAGCATTTAGGAGACATTAGAAGAGACAAGAATATACATGTATTTAAAGTATATTTTGATATGTTTTGACATACGTACATATACATAAAAGCTATCATCACAATCCAGATGTTGAATAAATCCATCCCCCCCAAATTTTTTTGTGCCTGATAACGAAACCCTCTTTTTTTTTTTGAGACGGAGCCTCAAGCTATCCCCCTGGGTAGAGTGCCATGGCATCACACTCACAGCAACCTCCAACTCCTGG